GAAAATATGTTTTATTTCTACAGTTTATTTAAAATACATCATCATTTCTGTAAATAAAAAAGCAGATATTCATAATTTTTGTTGTACCGTTTGTTTTCGTTTTATTTAATCCAAATAGCAATCTCACGGTAATTTTTTCGGAAATTTATCCAGGCTAAAAATATATTCACCTGAGTAGAAAATGAATGAAAATATTTTGTGCTACCTTTCCAGTACTATCATATATTCCAAATAAAATTAAATTTTAAAATAAAATATATTATTTTAGAAAGAAAAGAAAGCTTTATGTCCTTCAAATGACTCCTGTTTTTACTCTTGATTTCATGAATGACTTCATATTTAAAGAAATTTAATTCTGTACAACGTTTACTTTGTTAATTTTTTGAAAGAAGTTATTAGTGTCAGGGATATGTTCACAAAGTTAGAAAAACCCAATCATGTTTTTTGACTGTAAAATTAATTAAAGAATTTCACTCGTCATTCCCACGTCAATTACTGTAACATCACAACGTCTGGTAAAAACCTTTGGATCCACCCTGTATAACTCGCGGTTTTATTCAACTATTAAGGGAGGTTCTTAGCGCCAGAGGTCATATCAGAATTTAAAACAATCTTTTTTGTAAGTCGTTGATAATTCGAAATTCGAACCCAGGTGATTGTCGTATCATAGCTAGAACCGTTTAAAGATTAATACGAAGAAAAGTCAGAAAAATTTAGCTGCTATTAAAAATGTTAATCTATTAAGAGCAAAGTTTATCTTTTTTTATTTACTTTTTAAATTCAGTTATTTATTCCCAAGTGCACTTTAAATATGCAACAAGCAAAACAGTTGAAATTATTACAATTAATTAAGGTTTTCAGCTGAGATAAAAAAGTCAATGGCACGAGCGGGATTCGAACCCACGATCTTCGGCTAGATACGCCTTTATCTTAACTAAAAACCTTAATTATTTGTAATATATTATTTGGTCAAGCGGACCACGAAATTAGTGAATTTAATGATTGAAAATGAAGAATACTTCACTAAAGCTGTCCGTGGCCATTTCATTTGTCATCGAGAATCCAATCCGATTACACGACATTTGAAAAATGGCAAAAAAAAGGGAAAATTCAAAAAGGTGTGGTTTGATGGGGAGTCGATGTCCGAGTGGATCGAGGTCACGATAGCTCAGGTGGTAGAGCAGCGGCGTATCTAGCCGAAGGTCGTGGGTTCGAATCCCTCTCGTGCAATTAGCTTTTTTTCATCTCAACTAAAATCCTTAATTAATTGTAATATATTAATTGGTCAAGCGGACCACGAAATTAGTGAAAATAGTTGAAATTATTGTTATATTGTGGTAACGTGCACACAAAGCTGTATGCAGGGACACTTAAAAGGTCATATAAGCATGAACGGAGTCCATCCAGATGGGAGCCGTCAGTTCACCAACAGGGTGGAGATCACTTGGCAACTACCCCGAAGCAAGTAAGCCGTCGTTTCAGTCTCCGACGAGGCTTGGCGGGTAATGTTGAGGATGACAATTCGCGAAATGGGTTTGATTGATCGGGTCATTTAAAATAGAACTTTTTGTAACGAAATTGGGCAAGGTCGGATACGAATGGGATTTTTTAGTCGGTATGAATAATCCCTCGTTAGGGTAATACCATGGAAGGGAACATTAACTATTGTTAGAAGAATTTCAGATTGCTGGGGTTTGTAGACTGTTAAGATTGAAATGCTTAGCAGTACCGTACGGTCAAGTCCGTATGCTCATATTGCCAGTAGAGCAGTATATAGTCTTTTTTTTTTTTGTTACTGAAAGTTTGGATTTTGTCACGTAGTCTTTTTAGCAGTCTGAATCTTGTATTTAAATGTTTACGTTTGATTCTTGTATAGGGATTCCATGTAATGTAAGTCGTTTATCGAGATACAGTTCAAGGTATCTTACGTGGTTCGCAACAGGGATGGAAAGATTATTGAAATATAAAGGATGGAGAGTTTTTTGTTAAGAGTGAAAATAATGTATTTAGATTTAGGGATGGTTAGGAGAGCCAGGAATCGAGTGTGTGTAAGTGATTTTGTAAATTTCGTGAATCTGTATTTTTCAGATTTTAGAATTTACCGGAGGTAAGTATTGATGTGCCATCGGAAAAGGTAAAAATGAAAATGTTAGGGTGAATGTGCAGAACAGCCGTGAAGATTGTGTAGAGGAGAGAGGATTTTGGAGAGTTTGGAAGTGACGGTCTGTAATGTATGATTTTAGTATGAGGAATAGAATGGATGGTACGACGCCCTTGAACTTTTTCAGAAGCCTTTTTTCTATTTTCAAAATATGAAAATTATTTAAGTATTTGACAAGGTTTTAACATTTATAAAGTACATTTTAAATACAAACTGATAATGGTAGGAATATGAAAGATGTGAAATTTACAATGTTCAAATTTTTATTTTATGATTATTCGTGAGATGCGGTCTCGTGTGACGTAGGTTTTACAAAAACTTTTTCTTTATCGTGCCAACGTTTCGATCTTTATTGAGATCCAAATTTTTATTGTATATTGTAATAAACAGGTATGAAGAAGTGGTATGAATTCAGTTCAATATCACAGTTGAGTAAATTGTTCGTAAAAAATAATTTGAGATTGTGATAAAATGAAATTATCAAAAAGGCTTACTTTTAGTTTTAATCGTGCTATTTGATCCAAAGCTCTTAAAAATTGGTATTCATTTAAAAGTAATCATTCCGTACACTAACTCATTAACTGCGACGATTTAAAATCTATATGATTCCTGACGGATAGCGATAGAAAATTAATTGGTGTCTAGTTGCAGATTAGAAGGCGGTAGCTTTCTATGTTCGGGTGCTATTAGCAGGATTTACACAATGGGGTCGTCTAACAAGACGCATGGACGCAATCGGAAACCGGGCCCTAATTATTCCAGGCCTGCTGCTCACTCCGCACTCTTCTGAAAAGATAGAATGAACAGTTTGTTACTAGCTGACTTTTAAAACGCATTTGGTCATGTGAAACCATTAGCAAGACCTGTTAAGCTCCAGCTAAATTTAGATCCTTAATAGCTAGTTTTGGAAAAGGTTCTGCTGACACTGAAGTCTTTTTAGATTTGTATTTGCAGAATTAGTAATTATGACTGCTATTCATCACATGAAAAACAATCAAAGAAGTTCCACAACATCTTACCTACGAAAACATGTTATACTTCAATATACTTTATACTGGTCAATGTTATTTTATTACCATCTCAAACAATAGGATCATAAGATAAAAACCGGCTGGATTTGTCATAAAGAGGCAGACACATAGAAGCATGCCTTTTGTGACTGCAAAGCGTTAGCCCGGAACCGGTACAGAATACACCACCATACCACCCCACCTTTTACGTTTTGCCAATGACACAGATGTATTGTCTTCTAATGATCCTGTGGTTGTTTCTGAACATCTGAAGAGACGTACCACATGTATAGCAGATTGGTTTTTAATTGGTTGTAATGTAGATAACTTTCTTAGACATTAGTCACATACAGTTTGGCAAATAATAAAAATTTATACTTCTACTAAAAGATATATTATACTACTATAATTGACATGAATGAAAATTAAAGTAAGACATTTACACTTCGAAGGAAAACTCCTCACACGATATACTACTACAATGTTCCTATTCCCAAATCCGACTGCTTAATGTGGCATCAACATATCCAGCTGAAACGACAAAACCTAAACGGGCGCTAGGTCTAACCTACAAACATATAGAACGACAATAAGCTACGACGAAAAACAAACTTACAGTCTATACAGCTCTACTACAACTGATTTGGACATACGAAATAGAACTGTGACGCAGAACATTCCAATATCCAACGCCTTCAATCCTTCCAGACTAAAGTCCTGAGATCAATTTATACATGTTCATAATAACGTAAATTATTGTGTCCCAATACTAACTTTTTTTAAGGCATCAACTTCGATGCGTCAAAAACTGCCTTGATTCTATATGAGATAATGAGAGAATGAGATGAGTAAGGACAAGGCCCTCATCTCCCCGAACTCAAACTCATCTCACTCTCCTACTTTTTGTATGTAAGAATTTACTTATCAATCCAATTTCGGTAAGGAACTCAGTCTTTTGATGTTAGATGAGGTATCTTATATTCTTATATTAACCTATATTTGATTTTAAGGACTTCGTAGTTACTACATGATATCAGCATATGCTTCATGGAAATTACTTCACCGCAAGTTGTCTGGGGCCGGCTCTCTAGTCATGAGTTGGCTTTGCGTCAGTCTTGTGTGACGTATCCTAAGCCTAACCAATACCGTTTCCTCTTTTCGTAATCTTTGCATTGCCGTACCCCCTTGTTTGACATCTCCCTTAATTTCTCTGCGTTTGTTTTCCTTCATGTTTCGCCGTACCAAATGCTAGCGGCAAAACCTTTCCTTTCAGAGAAACTGCAAGATCTTCGCTAGGCACGTCCAGCACTTAAATACCCTTCGATGCGGCACATTTCTCCGCTAGGTCAGCCATCTTCATTGTCTGTTGTACCACAGTGACCTGGGATCCACAAAAAGTCACTGATCTTGTGCGATCTTTTAGAGCAAGTAATGTCTCTTATATTCTGGGATTTGTAGAAAATTTATTTTTGATAACTAATAAATAGAAAGGGCATCTTTACAAATCACCAGGTCAGTGTTGTTAGATCTTACGATAATTATGCATTTATTGATTGCAATTATTTTTTCAGTATGGTTGCTACATACCTACATATAGAATGACCTTTAAATTCCTTTTACTAAAAAAGTATTTCCCCACAAATTTACCAAGTTCCACTATATTCTCTCCCTAGCTACAGCTGTTGTACAAGCCTACGGTTAGGCTGTCTAACAGAACCCATCCTAAAAATTCCATAAAGCGACTCCCGAGGAAATGAGCCCGCGACCTCCTTTCTGAGGAGTAGGCAGTGAAGTTTAAAAAATGTATACAACAAACTGATAAATACAGATAATATATTTTTTTAATAATTGACTCATACGATACTTTCATTTAGTCTGTAACAAATGTCTTATTGAATTTGTATGTGTCACATGTTTTAGTGAAAGGTAGAAAATGGGACCTTGTTCAAGTTCAACGTTTATCAGTTACACATATGTCTTTTCACACTGCTTACACTGGTGTTACGCTATGGAGTTACCAAAGGAGTATCCTTACGTCTTAAGTATGTATGAGACAGTGCAAGAAAAGTTCCATTGTTTAGTGTTGATGGCATCTTCTTCCACAGCGATCTCCCAGTGCAAATGTCTTGGGTCTTTCAGACAGACTTCGCCGGATTTCTATGACTTTGACTTGATCGACGTTCAGAACTACAGGTTACAAGGACAAGATAGTTCGCGGTATACGATCACCAAAACGTTAGTAAATGCACATTGCCGTCCTTCATTATATGCTAAAGACGTATTTGTTTTTGACATCGCAGGCATGAAAATAAAGGAAACATTTCCTAAAGATTCATTATCCAAAATTAAAATGACTCCGATTCATCGCAGCATAACTGACGAAAAGCTATCTTTTATCAGCCTGACTCTCAACTGTCTCTTGATCGTAGTAAAAGACAAAAAGACATCAACTAGCGAACTTATCACGATGGATCCAGTAAGATGTGCGCGACAGCACTGTGCTTCGCTATCAATTAAGCAAGAAGCAGACTGCGAACAGTTATATGTTGCGATTTTGTCACTAGCACTTGAGTGCGCCTATTTTGAAGGTAAAGATGGTAAGGAAGAAAGGGGATTCACGGTCGCATCCAGCCCGATCATTTGTAATAACGCATTGTGGGGCATTTCGACGAGCTTGGCAGGCGAATATCTCTTATGGGCTCGACTTGATTTGGAACCCAATAACAGTATTTACGCCGAACTGAGAGCTGGATCCAAAACTTCCACGTTTCATAATGTTCCTAACTTTCTGCCGGTACTAATATTTTATTGGTTGTTTAAATCATATTTCAACTGTATTATTACACATGTTTCTCAATTATTGTTGTTCTGTTTGAATGTATTTTGTTTTTTAATGCAATATTTTTGCGGCGTAAGATAGAAGCTATTCCATTTTATATTTTACACCACCTGTTTAATTTAAATGGGTATGAGGACACAATTTCGGTCACGTTCAGCAAGATTCCTCCACCTAGACGAATGATAAAATCCGCGAGCAATACTAAACAGAAGCTACAAATTAAAAACACGCTCGATAAATGAGCAACATATTCGAAACGAACGATAGGTGGTTTACAAAATCGAAAGTAAAATTGAATCCGACAAAATCGATGGTTGTACCTTTCATCATTTGGCATAAACGATTTTCGTATTTTTTGATTTTTTATCAATATTCTTAGCTGTTCCTCTTTCTTTTAAATGGGCATTCGTCTTGATAATGAATATGAACAGAACATCGCTGTTTTCGTTCAATAGGCCTATTTCTTCAGGTGAACTAAAATCTTGTATACATCTAATCACAATAAGCGCATGGTATGTCTGCTATGATTTCGATATTTGCATAAGTTAAAAAAACATACAAAGCACTTAACTGAAGGATGGGCGATCATAACAATCTCGTCATTGTTCAAACTGTGGCACAACTACCTAAACTATTTACGCACAAGGAGTGGAAGTCGGAAAGTAAACCAAACATTAGAGCGTCCCACGTATTGAATGTTTTACGACGAGCCGATTATTTGGATATTTATTCTTAGCAGTTCTTTTTGTTTACCTGGGTGATCATCTGGATTCCCAACTAGCCGAACATGGGACACCAGTTTCAATGGTGGATATAGCTGTGATAATTGCAGGACCACAGATTATATTGGGTTGTCCGGAAAATAATGCAGGATTTTAAGTTTTCATTAAAAAAAATCTATATAAAATATTCTGTTTACGTTTACAGGATTACTCATTTGTATGAATGTCAACACTTATTAATCCTCTTCCAAATGATATTGTTTGTTTACCTCTGTAGCATTCCGCTACTTGGAAATAATTCAGTCATCCTTATAATGTCAAAGCGAGAATTTCGTACGATTTTCTTTTACGAGTTTAAACTCGGCCGAAGCGGAGCCCAAACGGCTAGAAACATTAACCAAGTCTGGGGCGAGGGTTGTGTTAATGAGTGCACTGTGCAAAGGTGGTTTAAAAAATTTCGGGAGGGAGATTTCAGCCTTGAAGATGAAGAAGGTCGTGGAAGGCCTTCCTCTCTTAATGATGATGTTCTGCGATCAGTGGTGGAAGAAAACCCCAAAACAACTGTTCGAGAACTTGCAGAGCAACTCAAAGTCAGTAAAACGACCGTCGCTGACCACCTCAAGGCGATTGGAAAAGTGAAAAAACTCGAAAATTGGGTTCCACACTCATTAAACGATCGCCAAAAAAATCAGCGCTTTGATGTTTGTGCATCACTTCTTTGTCGAAACAAAAATGACCCATTTCTGGCCAGAATTGTTACATGTGACGAAAAGTGGATTCTCTACGATAACACTAGACGTTCTGGACAGTGGCTCGACAAAGGAGAAGCTCCAATACATTTTCCAAAGCCCCCAACTCATCAAAAAAAGGTAATGGTTACGGTATGGTGGGCTTCATTTGGTTTAATACACTACAGCTTCTTAAATCCTGGCGAAACCATCAATGCTGAATCATACTGTAACCAAATTAATACCATGCATCAGAAATTGGCAGTAATGAAGCCCTCTTTGGTCAATCGGAAAGGGCCCATTTTGTTGCATGACAACGCTCGACCACATGTGTCACGTGTAACGTCACAAAAATTATTGGAGCTTGGCTATGAAACTTTGCCTCACCCACCCTACTCTCCGGACCTCTCGCCTACTGACTACCATTTTTTTAGACACCTGGACCACTACTTACAACACATAATATTCAAAAATCAAACGGAACTGGAAAATGCATTTATTGACTTTATCAATTCTAAAAATTCTGAATTCTACTCAGACGGAATTAATAAGTTACCAACACGTTGGGAGAAATGTATTGAGAGTATGGGAAATTATTTTGATTAAAGAACATTGCTTTAAAGTAACTAGTTTCTTTTTTTTTGTTTAATACCAAAATCCTGCATTATTTTCCGGACAACCCAATAACATACTTTGGTACCAACTCCATTAATATTTCGTTAAGTAGGCCTATTTTGAAATACCACAGTTTAAGGAATCGTACATAAAATTCTGCATACACCTAATCACATAAGATACATCTACTACATATACATTTACTAAGTTTGAACATTCCGCGATTGCAGAAGTTTCAGATAAAACCTATAGAGGATTTAATCCAAAGATAACAATCCCATCTTTGCTTTAAAAGTGGAGCAGCATCCTCTTCCTCGACCAGTATCTAAATACATGAGGTTATGGGGTGGAAATTCGTAAGGTCAACAAAAAATGTTAACGTCCAACGTATCCAACGTTTTCAGTTCAAAATCATGTATGGCTCAGAAGCATTTCCAAAATCGATATATTTCGTCAGTCCTTTTCATACTCTTCAATTTTTTTGTACTACATGTTCGCGCCTAAAATCGCGAATTATAATTGTTTATTTTGTTTCCGAAATGCTAGTCTAGAATTTATCCTAGCTCTGTTCCCTCCCCACAATCCTGTCCTGTTGCTGCCTAGTCCTGCTCTAGTCCTGTTCGCTTCCGCCTCACTTCCATACAGTCCACTATTAATTAGCCTCCAAGAGTGATTTTCTTTTTGTTTTCTTTCAGTTTTTCTCTTATTTTCAAGAAGCAATTTTTTTCGTTTTGTTAATTATCGCGTTCAAAATAACGCCAGTGTCTCCTCCCGCATCCTTAATGCGACACATCATGCAGGGTTCGGACGGAGCCCCGAAGGTAATTAATAGACAGGATTCTGTTTTACCTTTGGCCAAAGTTATTGCAGGTTCTAGCTATTAAACGGCTCTCCTCCCTGGTTGTCGAGAAAATCAAGCCACAGTTAACAAGTTAATATTTTATTTTATTTTGTATTTTTATTTTATTTAATTTTATTTTTATTGCGACCGACCAGCGCGTGCACACTACATATTATTTCGAACATATTTAATCGGACCACGAAATATAATGGATTATTTCAAACGTTTTTTGTTTTTATTTTTAGAATTTATTATTGTGAAATGTGTTTTATTGAATTTCAAATTTTATTAATATTATTGGGAGGCGGTCGGGAACATTTCATCGACTTATATCGACGGTTGACAATCATTGTTCTCAAGCACTATTGTAAATCATTCCATTACATCAGCTGAACATTTTGTGTTTCGCATTTTAATGACAATTATGTATATATATGTAAATGAATTGCAGTTTTCGTAATTTTATTGAATGATGATCTATAATATTAGATTATTACTAACACACGCAGCATAACACAAATATGGATCTATATTTCTTAATTACATTAAGGAGTGCAAAGTAAGGAAAATAGGTGCCGGTTTTATAGTTAATAACCATATTTATCCCTAACAACTATGGATATAAATATCAAAAGAAACTGACCCGTCTAAACTTGAGAATAAGGCTACTGCAAATAAGTTATACCACATAATACTAGCTATTTATTGTAATTAGATGAATAACAAATGCTGTTTTTAAATATCAGGTTTTTATTATTCACATGTCGATATAAAAAGTAGACAATGTGTCCATTTTTCAGTTTACTCTCTATTAGATTTATCTATTTATTGTCGCTTCCTTGGATTGGATCTCACGCTATGGAGTTGCAGCCGAATTATCCATACGTTTTGAGCATGTTTCAAACATTGCATGATAAATTCCATTGTTTGGTAATAATGGCATCTCCTACGACGGCGCTCCTCCAATGCCAGTGCTTAGGTTCATTTAAGAAAACAGCCCCAGATTTCTTCGACTTTCAAATGATCAACGTTCAGGAGTACAATTTACAAGCCTTCGATTTAAAGAAATATCATATTTTGGCCCCGTTGGTCAATGCACATTGTCGTCCTTCTACATATGTAGAAACCATCCTTGTATTCGATATAGGAGGAATCAGAGTAGAAGAAAAATTCCCGAGTTCGGTACTGGCCGGAGTTCAATCGCCGCCCAACCTCTTCTCAGGTGAAGAACAAGGTAATTTAGTTGAATTACCACTTACATGTTACTTGGTCGTAACTAAAGATGATTCCACAACAGCACCTGTTAAGATTAGTTTGATGAATTCTGTACAGTGCGCTAGACAACATTGTTCTTCGCTAAAACATAAGATGAACGCCGATTGTGATGAATTGTATGTTGCAATTCTCTCTCTAGCTCTTGAGTGTTCATGGGTCAATGGTGTTGATGCCTCAGATGGATACAAAATTGTTTCCAGCCCTATCATTTGCAATAATGAAATATGGGGTGTTTCAGCGCACTTGGAAGGTACATTTCTCTTATGGACTCGTCTTGATTTGGAACCAAACAGCAGTACCTTCAGAGAACTAAGAGCAGGATCCAAAGTGCCTCCATCACAAAAGATTCCTAATTTTCTTCCAACGCTAATATTGTATTGGCTTTTAAAATCATATTTCTTTTCTATAAATACACATGTCAACCAATAAATGTTTTAATTATTTTGCAATTTACGTCAGTAATTTTTAAATTTTTTGTAAAAATCTACATTTAATGTTTTCTTCCCTAGTGAATTGCCACGTCCTCCTCGTCCCTTAGTTATGAGACTGTGGAAACAGGCGGTGCGGTACACTCAAAATATGGGATAAGGCAAAAAATTTAGATTATTAAAATAAAAGGTACTATTGTAAAAAAAAAATAAATGTGTGAACAGTAGACCAAAAGGATGCCTTTCTTTGTCTGATTTAAATATACTGTACTTAATTGAGGGTCTCCTCCGCAGCAGGTCTGTCCTTGGTAACGTCCTCAGCGCACCTGGCGCTATCGCTGGCGGAATCTCTTTCCTCCCTGGAAAAGGGTGGCCATGCCCCCGCTTCCACAGTTCAGGTGTCGCGCGATCTCCTGAGTCGTGACACCACCCCCCTTCTAAAATTCTTCCTGACCAGCAGAATGTGCACCGG